TGTAATATATCTTGGAAGTCACGACGCTGGTAGATGAAAATATTCCATTATTGTTTGGACTCGTACATAATAAATAGCTACATTTACAAAAAAAACTTGCAAGGGTGCTGTCAGACAACAAAGCACATGTCTCATTTGCAATTCGGATCAACGCTGGCAAATGAACTAATTGGCACTGGAACTAATACGCACGATTGGTGTGACGCAAATGCGCATGCTGTGCATCCTTCGCGATTTCAACGTTTTTCAATTGTGTGGTGAAGTTTTAGAGAAAACTTGCTACTGAATATTTTCCTAAATCACCTTCAGCCGAGATTCGTTTGGCAGAAACACCTTTGGATTTCTTTTCTCTTTTTTGGGATGATAATGTTATAAATAACATTGTGACACAGTCAAATATATACTCACAACAGAAGAATAACAGTCTGAATATAATCAAAGATGAGATATATACAATATTTGGAGGAATGTTGTCAGGATGTTCATAACGTCCAAACAAACGAATGTACTGGTCGCGTTCCAAAGAAGTTTCTAAAACGGTTATACAACAGCATGAGACTAAATAGGTTTGAGGCAGTATTACGACATTTCCTGTACAATTTGTGTATCGTGACTTTCCAATTTTAATAAAGAAGTAATTATTATCAAGGTGTTGTTACTCGTCATAATACATTAGTTGGATAATTATTTCAATAACTGAAAGTAATACCAAGTGAATAAACAATCATTTGGAAGTGAAGGTGTTAATGTGTAATAATTGGTGTCAAGTGATTGTATTAGTTCCTGATGCCAATTACTTCACGCCTCAACTGAATTAAATCACACCTGTCACCTAATTACTGATGAGTCCGGAGTCTCATTAGAACTGCCCTGGTGTCAGAAACAATTAAAAATATATCACCAGTCACTTTTTGTCGTTGCCTCTAGCCAGGTATCCGTTAATATATATCAGATTTAAAAATTGGGCTTTATGTACAAATATAGGTTATTATGTGTCTTTTGATATACGTACATACTGGAAAGTCAACAAATGAGCAACGATTTGGATTAGGCGCGGATGTTATTGTGTCACTATTGAAAAAGGGTGAGATTTGTTCTAACTTAGATTACAACTCTATCCCTTCAGGACAAAATTCAGACTATCGTATAAACAATGGTAGCCAGTCTAGTCACCGTCCTCCAACCACCCACCCAAATAATCTTCGATTAGTTACCTGGAATGCCCATGGCTATAAATGTAAAGTGACTGGAGGAAAAGGTGTTGCATACATGACCGAAGCTTTCTTATCCAGGAAAAGCAAGCTTTTTGTTTCAAACTTCACAGCCTACAATAGGGATCGTGAAAACTCCAGCGGCGGCGGTGTACCCATTGTCGTTAGGAATTCTATCAAACACCTTCATTAGACCCTTCATTAATTTGAAGCAGTTGGCATTGAAATCATATCAACTTGCGGCCCCGTCAGAATTATCTCATTATAGTCCCCCCCAGACGAAGAAGATCTTTCAAACCTCCCCCTTCTACTCCACCAAACGTCTCGACTATCGTCGCAGGTGATCTCAATGTCAAGCACGTCTCTTGCGGCAGCCGATATAGTAACAGAAAAGGCATTTCCCTTCCTGCCAACTCTCTTGACTTCGATTTCACAATTGAATCCCCCCAGAACCCCCGAAAGCTAACATCCTCGATAGACTGGCTACATCTCCGCTACACCCTGGAGTCATCTTCTTTTATGTGCACTCAAATTTGTACAATAGAGGAACTCGATGAAGCGGTACACTTCCTTTCAAACGAGTTTACCAGCGCCGTCGAGCGCTCCACGACTCCCCCCCTCTCCTTCAACCCAGCCAATACTCTCCGCGCAGACATTCTTGACCTTTACTAACTTACTTAACTATTACAATTCTTAAGGATTTGGATTTGTTATAAATTATCAACAAAATATGCTAACGCCTTCCCAAACATACATAATTGGTAAATTATTTTCAATTTGCCCAGCAGTTCGNCGTGAGGAGCCGAGTGCATCACTAGCGTCTCACTCTCGCGTCCCCTACCACCTTCCCACTCACTTTTTATTCTTCTGTAGCGCGCTTCTGATTGGTTACTTTCATTAATTAATTACTAATTATCTACTTTACAAAAAAATTTCAAGCATGGATTTTTGGGCTCAGAATTTTTTTCTCTTTCGATCCCAACAATTGGGTGCGCGACTTCTGAGACACCCTGTATAGTTTAACCCGTACCAAGGTTCGTCGACGACAATTCCAGAAAAATATAAGCAGACGGGATTGGGAGCATCAGTTGTATTTCAATATGCCGATATTTTGCAAAAAATGCCTCATCATCTCCATCTATTCTTTGATAACTTCTTTTCATCTTTATCGCTTCTAAAAGAGTTAAAATTGAGGAATATCAAGGCAACTGATACTATACGCGAAAATAGAATCCCTCAATCTCCATTCAGTAATGCAACAGTTCTGAAGAAAAAGGCTAGAGGCTCATTTGAATATAGAATTGCTGACAATGAAATCGCTTTGTGCAAATGGAACAATAGCGTCGTTAGTTTGACCACTAATGCTTGTACAGTTCTTCCGGTATATAAAGTCAAAAGATTTCCTCAGTCTGAGAAAAAGTATGTGTATGTAGATCAGCCAAGACTAATATAGCGAAAAGTTGGGTGGCGTAGACAGTAGTGACCAAAACATAGGCCAATAGGATATAAGAGGTAAGAAGTGGTATTTTCCTTTGTTTTCCCACTGTGTCGACATGGTAGTGCAAAACTCATGGCTCCTTCATAAAAATGATGGTGGTACCTTTAACCAACTACAATTTAGAAGGGATATCGGTACAGAACTATTAAAGTCTCACAAGAGAACGACTAAGAAAAGAACTTCAAAGCTGCCGGAAAACGTACACCAATATACGCTACGTGTGCTGTTTACCACAAAAAACCGAATTTCTTATGTAAAAAATGCAATATCTCTCTTCACCCGAAGTATTGTTTTAGCAATTACTATACTAATAGTTTAGCGTTTGAGTTTAAGTCTTTTGTAATTCGTTTGGATATAATAGATTTACATATTTTTTTGTTGAAGTTTATTTATTTAGTAGCAGCTTTTGAACAGCTGTCCTTTTTTTTGGAAAACTGGAAGACGAAATTTTTTTTGCATTTCTTCCCATTTCATGTGACCTTAATTAACCGTTTTCAAGAAAAAAATACATAAAATACCAAAAAAATAGTTTCAGGGTTATATGGGTGAAAGCTGTGGTATAGATACTGCCAATCAAGAAACGACAGTTACTGCTTTAGCTTCAACTGCCCTAGATTTTTTGCAAAAACGTTATAATAGGGGCGTACTTCATTACACACTCAACTGCTAAAGGTCTGGCGTAGCCTAAGTTTTAGGACCCTCACTTGCTGAAGACGTTCCCGTAAGACGATTCTTAAAGGTCGTTTTTGATTTGAGACCCAGTCTACCCAAGTACAAAAATACCTGGGATCCTTCAGTTGTGTTAAATTACTAAAAAATCAAGTTAACGACAACATTTCCTTAGAACATATAAATCTTATAAACTAACCATGTTATTAGCTCTTGTTTCTGCGCAGAGTGCAGACACTTTCACTTATTAAGCTTGATGATATAAAATCTTCCTCCTTAGAAGTTCAAATATTTGTTCGTAATAGTATTAAAACGTCGGTTCCAAATCAAACACAACCTATTATTTCATTATTGTTTTATAAAGATGATGAAGTCATTTATATGGCTACTATTCTCTTATTTTATATAAATTGAGAAAGAGCCATACCAAACACTGCCTGTAATAAAACTTTATTAATCTTCAAAAACCCTACCGTAATGCTTCATCACAGACAATTTTACGATGGATTCGTAACGTTATGGTTATTGCCGGTATTAATTCAACGAAAAAGTAAAGCGGGTTAATAAGCCGCAACGGGTAATATGCCTCAGTCCGCTTCTAGCTCGTACAAAAGTTTGACGCCGGCGCAGTAATGCACACCTGTTGATGTTTATAAAAAGCAGTACGCGTGTGGTCAATTTGTGTTTTTGATCTGAAAATTTAGCGAATGGTGTCACAAAACCTCAAAAATTTGTTTCAAACCCAATTTGGCAAGAGTTTAATATCAGGTATTAATGATGCGATTTAAATATCAGTATTGGGTAAAGTAAGATGTCTAACCTAACTTTTGCCAAGTTAGTGCTATTTGCGAACGTGTCATTTGCGAACAAATGAGATTTAGTGCCACTTGCGAACAGCAATAAGTAGCCTCGGGTTGACCTAGAAATTATAGTTTCATTTGCGAACAGACAGTAAGTTATTTAGCCTCTGTTATATAGGGGTTCCATCTCTTCGGAGTATATCTTTGGTATAGATAGGTACATCTTCCTCCCGTGCTCGGTTTTTTCCGAAAACAATCCTTTCTTTACTTCAGTAAGAGCCATATCCGGCTTACAAGCATGTGGTGTGAATGACATTACTTCATCACACTTGCTCTTTAACATTCCTTTGCACTGTTATTTTTTCTCTTGAATACATAACCAAGTGATAACACCTTTGCTGTTTTTACGACACTTTCGATATTGATAACCATCGTACACCAAGGAAGGCTTTCCTTTTGATTTTAGAAAAATGCAACGTTAAGCTGTTAAGGTAACAAATCCTGACTTCACTTATTAATGTTATATATTTTGAGAAACCTAACTGTAAATAGGGTTACTACCACCTCTTGTTATTATGTTATTGGTTGATAATTTATTATTACCGAGTTCATTATAGTAATACTACAAATGGCGCAGTAAACGCCATCTGTAGCACGATGCAACATTTTAGGATTACGTATGCTCCAACAAGGTCCACTTGTGTGGATATCTACTNGTTTTAGGCCATAGTGACGTGTGGCATTGAGCGCCTACCGCCTCTATCAATTGTTTTAGTGTTGCGTGTTTACAGTAAATTGAACTTTTGTGTGTGTACAATTGAAATGCTTCCAACAAAGCGTAAGGTGCTCACTGTCGAAGAAAAGATTTCTTTCATCAAATCAATAGAAAATGGCGAAAAACAAACAGATGTTGTTCGACGTACGGGGATTTCCCAGTCGACTGTGGCTACAATTTGGAAGGATAGGAAAAAGTGGCTTGATGCGGGAATAGAAATGGGAACCAAGAAAAAGATTCGTAAACCTCAGTATGACGATTTAGATCGCGCTATTCTACAGTGGTTTAAACAACAGCGTAACAACCACATTCCACTGTCTGGACCTGTAATCAAAGCAAAGGCGGAATTTTATGCTACGGAGCTTGGCATCGCTAACTTTAAGGCATCTGAAGGTTGGCTGAGTAAGTGGAAGCAGCGTCACAACATAAATTACGGGCAGATTAGTGGAGAGGCTCGTGACGTCGACAAAAACATTACAGACGACTGGCTGCAAAAAGTGTGGCCTGGTATGACAGCTCGATATTCGCCAGAAGATATTTTTAACGCTGACGAAACTGGATTATTTTACAAGATGACACCAAACAAAACTTTGAAATTCAAGTCAGAAAAATGTATCGGAGGGAAATTATCAAAAGAAAGGATCACAATTTTGGTGGCAGCTAACATGACAGGTTCAGTAAAAAGAAAACTTCTGGTGATTGGCAAGTCTAAGAATCCACGTTGCTTCAAAAATGTTAAGCGTCTGCCTGTTAATTACCAAGCAAATAAGAGTGCTTGGATGACGTCTCAAATTTTTGAAGAAGAGATTCGAAAATCGGATTGTGAGTTGAAGGGCAAGAAAATTTTACTCTTGGTTGACAAGTGCCCTGCTCACCCTGCAATACCCAATCTCCAGAACATAGAACTTGGATTTTTACCAGCCAACACAACAAGTATCCTTCAGCCTATGGACCAGAGTGTCATAAACTAGGCCAACTATCCTAGATGCTGTACAAATTATCAGCAGAGCATGGGCTGAGGTGACAGAGAAGACAATAAAGCACTCATTCAGGCACGCAGGATGGCTGGAAGACCCAGTACCAACAGAAGACGAAGACGACTTGTCTCTAGTTATTTGGGCCCAACAGTTGGAACTTCCAACAACTTATACGCCAGAGGAGTTACAGGATTACGAAAACATAGACGAGACAGTGGCTACAGCAGCAGGAGTTTCAGACGAGGACATTCTGAATGCTGTTCGTGTTGTTGTTGATGACGAAGATAGTGAGCAAGAGGAAATTGATCCAGAGCCGGAACCAGTCCCAACCCCTCTACAAGCCCTGGAGGCTGCTAAGGTGCTCCGCAAATTCTTTGCTCACCATGAAGAAGAGCCAACTGCGTCAGAGGATGCTTCGCGTCTTGAAGATAAAGTGAGGTCTATGCTTTGGAAGACCAAAAANAGTGGAAATACGGCAACGAGCATTTCACGCCAACTACCCATATATTTACGCTCTAGGACGCCGCCTTCATATTGCGGCTGAGTCGTTTGGTTGTTAAAATGTGAGCCTTTGAAATTTAAGTTGCCATATTCCCCCGCTTTACTCTATGTTTATACCATTGCGGAATAGAGCAACGACAATTATACGTTCCATACCAGGTTATATAAGCTCTAAGTTGCAACCTTCGCGTTGCGACTGGGTTCATTGATTGTTAGAATGTAATCTGTTAAAGTTTAAGTTGCCCTATTCCCCCACTTTACGCTAAAGGCACCTCCCTTCCAGCCTAAATTCTTGACTTCAACCTAACAGTTGAAGCACCCCCTGACCCCACATTCCTCCCTGCCACCCACCATCCCTGGCATTCTTGACATTTTCACGAAAAATGTTACACTTTCCGCCGATCCTATCGTCATAGACGCATTAAGTTTGGACCACCTTCCAGTCCTTATTGAAGTCGACCGCTCAATCCTCAACACCCGAAACCCAACCACGTCACTAGATTGGCTTCACCTTCGTTACACCCTTGAAACATCTTCATTCAAGTGCACTCCAATTCGCACAACAGCGGAACTTGACGAAGCTGTGAATCTCCTGTCAAACAAGATCACCAGCGCAGTCGAGCTCTCCACTACCTACCGACCAACGCCCACCAAAGACAGAACCCTCCCAGTAGACATTCTTGACCTCCTTAAGAGGAAAAACAAGGCGACATCTGCTGAATAAACACCGCATCCCCGCCCACCGTGCAGAGGTAAACGCCCTTCAACGAGAACTAAAAACTCGTCTCACCGAATTCCGCAGCGCATCCTACAACGACTATATCGCTCAGGCAGAAACACACTCCCGAAGCACTTGGAAAGTGATCCGTTCTCTTCGTAACAGAGCCCCCCCCCATCTTCCGTCACTAAAACAAAACGGCCCCACCTATTCCTCAGACGAAGAAAAAGATGCAATCTTTCACAGACAGTGGATCTTGACGACTTTCACAGCCGGTGTCTCACAAGGCTCCAAACTATTCCCCGTTCTGTTTAACCTGTTTTGCGCGGACATGCCCTCCCACACTTCAATTCTGATTGTACGCCCCTAGGGCACAATGGTACACCGGGCTTGAGTACCATTGTTTAGAGAGCGTTCAAAAGTGTCAAAGCGAAAGAAAGCAAACAGTATCTAAGAAAGCGTTTTTTAGCGACAAAGTCGCAAGGTTTTGTACAAAATTGCTAGATAGTGGAAAACCTAACCTCCTCGTGGTCAGGGGCGGAAACCAAGCTGTGGTAACGGGCTTCGACCCGCAATAAAAATCCACAGCAGGGCTAAGTGCGCAAAATCATTCAAACAGCCGTGAAAAAGGGACAGGGAGAAATGAATCCAGAACCCCCGCCTCTAACGCGGGGGTTAACACAACCCTTCACCCAGGGTGAAGCTAAGGCCTCCCCTGGAGGAACACAACAACTCACAAAGAGAAAGAAAATAGGAAGTTCAGATGAAGAACCAGAAATGACTGAAGAAAATGTCGAAAGTAGATACCTCGACATCAACAAATTCATCGACAATGACATGGACCCTGGCAGAAGGCTCCCAAAAATGAGCCTTACTGCGCTAAAAAACAAGATCATGGTATGGGCTCTGGCTCAAGCAGAGCTCCAAGGACAGGTAAAGACCCTTACGGCGGAAAATGAACGTCTAAGGAAGGAACTAGAGAACACCAAAAAAGCAACCCCCACCATGACATACGCAACCGCAAAGGCAACCACCACCAAATTTCAAGACAGGACCCCCAAACAGACAAAAACAAACACTATTTTCATTACAAAAAATGGTGCAGATGGAAAGACAATACAATAGGCATTCACAAAAACCATAAATCCCAGGACAGACAAAATCAAAATAAAGGCGATGAGAACAACAAACAAGGCTTTGATAATAGAAACAGACAGTGAGGCAGACCTTGAGAAAATCATGAACCATGAACAGATTAAAACCCAAATGAAATGTGAGCTACCTAAGAAAAAGAGACCACTCATAATATTATACGACATACCTAGTGGAATGGAAGAGGATGAGATAAAAAACACAATTTATGAGCAAAATCTAGAAAATGAAATGACCAAAGAGGAATTTGAACAACAGTTTACTCTAAGATTCAAAACAGGGCCAAGAGAAAGGGCCACAGTACACCACGTAGCAGAGGTCAATCCAACCCTAAGAAAACGCATAATGGCTCAAAATAGGATCTATGTAGGCTTTCGATCCATAAACGTCAAGGACTACATAGTTGTTCCTAGATGCATAAAATGTCAAGATCTGGGTCACGTACAAAAGCATTGCAATAAAGATAAAATCACATGTGCACATTGTGGCGAGGACGATCACAACAAAGAGGTTTGTAAGAACAAAGAGAAACAACCTGTATGCATACCATGTAAGAAACGAAACAAAAGATGCAATAAACCGCAGAAGGACTGTCAAACATACAAGTTGATGTTGGAACGCACAATACAAAAAACCGATTATGGGAATTGAAGAAAAACAACAAGATAAAACAAAGAACACAACCAATACTCAAGAACAACAAAGTAAAGAACAATCCCTAAATAAGCATAAACCACCAAAAATTAAGAGATAAAATCCGTGCCATACAATTTAAAAAGAATAAAGAATTACAGCAAGGTAATTCTTCAAAGGACAACACAGTAAAACCTGAAATCAATAAAATCCAACATCAACCAGACACACAAAACACAACAACAACAACAAATCCCATGTTTATCTACAGAAACGTAGAAATAAGCATGAAACTAAGTAGATTAGAAGAACCACAATTGCTGACTACGGCTCTCAAACACCTCACCAGAAATATACACCCTAGAGGACGCAGGGTGACCTTCCCCGTTCCGGAGACGGTTGACAGGATTACACTGAGAAGTGCAAATCTTCCAACCGAGCCGGAACAATTAAAACAGTTAGTAGACCAAGTTTTTGAGAGAAGGGGGGAAATGCTGGACCTTAAAGAATTGTATGATCAATTCGTCATGACACATGGAAGAATCACAATAGATCCTACACAGAAATGGCCAATGAGTCATATACACACACGACATCCATCAAGGTAGGACAAATAAACGCCATGCGAAGTGCGATCGTACTACACGAAATAAGGAAGGTCGCAGAAGATGAAGGACTAGACCTTGTATGCATACAAGAACCATTCTCTAGGAACGGCAAAATACCGAGTATGCCCATAACTTCAAACATAATAACTCTGGGAGAAAATCCAATGTCGGCTATTGTGGTGTTCGACAGAAACTTGACAGTCTTATTAATAAAGCAATATAGTGATACGCACTGCACATGCATTGAACCATCCCTACGAAGAATAAGATCTATCGCCGCAAAATATGCACGAACACCCATGATTATTGTGGCGGATGCAAATGCTAAATCGGCCCTTTGGCATAGTTACCGGACAGGTCAGAGAGGGGAGGAATTGGAGGAAGTTGTTCATGAACTTCAACTGGAGGTCGTGAACTGTCCCAACAATCCTCCAACCTACCAAAACAGAGCGGGGGCAACAAGCAACATAGACGTTACCTTGATAAATGGGGAAGCACATGGGAGGGTAGTCCGGTGGAAGGTTGATTCTCATTTCATTTAATTAAAGAACAGAATTCCGATCAAACGGAATACCCCCAGAGGGCTCGATATGACCTGCACAGAACGAATTGGGCCAAACTAAAACAATCATTCCAAAACCTCCTATGGAATATAGAATACCTGGGTAACGTTGACCTCTTCGCCAAACAAATAAACACAAATATCAAGGCAGCTATGAATCTCTCCATTCCACTGATTAAAACAAACAAAAAAGTAAAAAACAACTACAACTTCAATCCATACTCTTAACCCATTTCCCATCTCAACCCTTTCCCCAATCCCCAGCCTTCCAATTTCTCCCCGAGGATGAGCAACCTACAGGGTTTATCTCCCCGCCCGAGGGGTTTTAGACGGTAAGAATCCGACACTACCTCCCTTCAGGGGGTGTCTTTTGAAGATTTCCCCTCCTCGAGTATAATCTAAACAAAAAAAAACAAAACAAAACCTAAAATCAGTTCGAGAATTACCGATGTTAGAAATAGTCATTCCGAACGAATCATTATCTTTTGTAATTTTCTGCTAAATAAAGAAATAGTTACTACAAGGTGTTGTTACTCATCATAGCCTCATTAGTTGGATAATTACCTCTAATTGTGAAGTGAATACATTATGTAATTAAACTATCATTTAAAGTGAGAAGTGTAAAAGTGTGACTAACATGATATTAAATGATCATTATTGTCACCTAGTACTTAGTGATTCACACATAGACCACTTAGTCATCGCACCTTTCACTTGTTTCCTAATGAGTCCGGAGTATCATTAACCAAAACTGCCCTGGTGTCGGAAGAAATTAGAAAGGTATAACCAATCCTTTCATTGTCGGCATATTCATTGAGGTAGCCGACAATACATAAAAAAAGCGACACGAACGGAAGAGGTAGATGAAGATGTCATGAATTCTGCGATGAAGGAAGTCCTTGATAAAATTTCATCTATCAGCAAATCCTCACAAAAATAGTAGTGAAAGTCGCTTAACAAAATTTCATAAGCAAGCAGGGTTCATTTTAAAGGCCACTTTATGGGTGGTGCTCCACAAGGCAGCTAGGAGTTGCTACTAGCTGGATAAATTCCAGTATATTTTTGGAGGTACTAAAACACATCCAGAAAAAACATCGTGCTCTAGATACAAAATTTTATTCTTGAAGAAGAAGTCTCATACGTGGAAATTTGTCTTTCCTACAACCAAAGATGAATGGACCGTTTACATATGAGATGTGGTAAGTATATTGCCGTCATCAATACCTACTTTGACAGTAAGAACAGGTCACATATATAGTTATATTGGATAGTTTAATATTTCCTTTTTTCATAATTTTAAGACCTGTTACTCTTGTAGCGGTTAGTTAAATTTAATATTTTAAATTTATAAATATTATCAAGATATTTGAAAAAATAATGTTATACCTACTAAATGTTTTTCGAGAATGTCATCAGCAGTAAATACCAAGAGTACCACTTGCATTCAAATTCGAAGAACATCATTAGGAGGATTTCCAAACGAAAATAGGTACTGCAAATTTAACATTAAAAGCAATTAAGGTGACAATATCTTCAGTAACAACATCGTCGTTAAAGATTAAAACAGCTTAACAGTGCGGGGGAAAAGAACAATATATATAAAGGCAGAATTTGTAAAGGGTTAGTTAGTAAGTCTTTGCCTTTCTATTGTTACATTTATGCTATTTAATTACGTTTATTTTTGCTGTGTGTTGTACCTGTTATTTATTTTATTGTTCTTTGCTTTCTGTGTTTTTTTGTGTTTAGTGTATTGTGTGATCCAAATTATACTTTTTATTATTTTTTATCGGACTATTCTTTTATTTGTTGTTCTTGTGTTCATTAAACAAAACCCCGATTGATTGCTTTAAATACAAAAAAATATTAATCTACTACATGAAGACTGATTCTATGACTTCAATAAATGACTATAATACATTGAATAAATGGCATTTTCGTGTACTGTATGGAGGTTCCCTACTATGTACGAAAGTGCCCGACACTATGTACAAAGCCACCCCATGGCATGGGTTCTTTCATATCAAAATCGTTTTGTTATAGCCAATAGTTATTATTTTAAAAAGCTCAGAGTAAAAAGTTTACGAATCCTACCTCCTCTCCCATAAACATGTTACATAATAAACAAACAACAAATAGATAATATAAGTAACCCTCTTGGCGCCGTAGGTGGGGTGACAACCCCAGAACTATAAAAGAAAACCCTGTAGAAAATAAGTCAGTTTCCAACTAGTTTCCAAAATAAACGTTTGCTTCTAAGATTGAATATTTTTACTTAAATAAGTGTAATAATCAAACGAAAAGGAAAGTCATTGAAAATGTTGGTTAGTAGAAGCCTTTAAACTTTTAAAAGATCAAATTAAAGACGGACTTGATTACGGAGAAATTCAGACAGAATTCTTGAATAACTTAGAGAGAGCATTCGAAATGATTGAAGAAAAAGCAACGGAAATTGCAGAGATCCACAGGAAGACGATCACGAAGATGGCGGTCTAGAGAATCCACTGAACTTCTTACCTGTTAAAGCTGTGGATGCAACGGAAGATTTTATAAATGCTAAAGGGCTGGTACCAGAAGATGAGCTCGATGAAATGAAAGAAGGTCTAAATGTAGACCAAAAATATATTTTCGATTACATTTGTGAGACAGGCGGCACAGGGAAAAGTTATTTAAATAATACAAAGCTGGGTTAAGAAGCGAATTAATCAGTTAGTTGCAGTAACTACACCCACTGGCATTGCCGCTTTGAAAGTAAACGGTCTAACAATGCATATGCTTCTACAGCTGCTTGTAGAGCACGGAAATTATCACAAGTACACTTCTTTATCAAACCATGTACTGAGTTTTTTAACTGTTAATGAAGTTTCTATAATTTCAAATTTAACACCAATGTACATCTATCTTCGTTTAACAGAAATATATGATACTGGTGACGCTGACGCCGGATGGTTCGGTAAGATTCATTATCATTATTTGACGATCTGCTCCAACTGCCTCCAGTAAGACAACTGTCGCCGTTCGAAAACATAAAGTCGTCTGATATCCTTAATGTTTGGGTTCCCTTAGCGCTCCAAATTTATGGAAAGAACTATTTTCTTATGACGAACTGACTGTAAACATGAGGCAAAAAATTACCAACTTTTCGGCGAAATATTGGTTCGTGTAAGAATGCATATCCTAACAAATCAAGACAGTTGTGTTTTATCTGGTCGACACTTTAAATTAACCGCTAAAAATCAAAACGACCGGCTTAAGGAAATTATAGCTCTAGCAAAGATTAAAGATGTGAACACACTGAAGTTTAATTCTTTTAGGAAAGGAACAGCCAAAAAAGCAAGCGTCCTTTTGCCATTTCACCTCCTACAACTGATGCAGCGATTGAACACCTACAAAGAGTGTATCTGTAAGATTAGATATAGCTAGGAAATCGAGATTTTAAAATTAATAATATTGAAAAGTGGGGCTGGAAGTATTTCAATAACATGTTTATCCCAATAACAATCAATCAATTACCAGCTCCGGATAATTTATTGCAAATGTTATTTTGTAGCTGCTGCTTGTCGGTGTCGGAAGAGTGGTTTATACTGCAGTGTAGCATGTCTACAGAGCAATGAAAATAGTTGGTTTAATACGCCACCGATAATTCAACTAAGTGAAGTCGTAAATAAAAATGTAAAATGTTTAATTAAACAAATACTTTATTAATAATCTTCCGTACTTTTTGTCCCTGATTACTATCTTTGTATAAATATATACATTAACTTAGCAAAAATGGAATTCATCTACTGACCCTGCATAAACATCCACAATCAATCCCACAACAACAAACACCTCGAAAACACTAAGCTTCGAAACGAGGAAAATGAAATAGTCAAATACGACATAGAACTGGAACGTATCAACTACCAGAGCTACCAAGATTCACCCAGACCAACAGGAAGATCAATCTAATCGAACGAAGAGAATAAAAAAAACAGTTTAAACTATTCAATAAACTTCTGTAACTTTATTTTCAAAATTTTTAATTACTTTAAAAATCATTCAAAATTTCAAGTTATCGCAGAGGTGTTACTACTCTAGATTAAGAAATGTCATATAATAAATCAATTATCTGTCACTAATAACCACCCCTCTGCTGTTTACATAAAAATCCGTATATAAGAGAATGGTCTAGCTCTTGTTCTTAACCTAGCATTACATTTATTTTATAAGTTAATTAGTACTCGATAAAGACTTTCGTTATTCAAGGTGATTTAATTGATTCTTACTAATTATTTGTTAAAGGACAAAAGTGCTAATGGTTCATTTCAAGGTGACAACGGCCATAAGTCGGTGAACGGAACGTTCTTAGACTATTATTGTGTGAATGTGTCGATTTCGTGAAATTAGCGTTCATTACGAAACGAGTCAAATCATTAGTCGGCGAACATTTAAATATCATTATCATCTTACAAGAGTAGTCTACTTATTAAGTGAACGTAAGAGCAATGTAATGATAACCAGTTCATCAAGGATAATTATACCGCACCTTTCACTAAGAGTCGGAAGTCTCTTCAAGAGCGCCGTAATCGCAAAAGAGAAAGAGACCTAATTATTGTGGGGATTGCGGATATATTGGGTTGTTCGGAAAGTCATTTCGTTTTTTCCCGACAGAGGATTTTATTGTATTCTTTTGCACCCAATTTCACATTTAAGCCGTATAATTTTTATATGCTTTGAGAGCTCATATAGCAAGGCTTGTGTGTGAAAAATTCCAATTAATTCTACGCAGTAGTTTTTGGTTGGTGCCCTATTAAATATGGAAAGCGATAAGCAGCATTTTCGACATATCTTACTGTTTTAATACAGAAAGGGTAAAAATGCTGGTCAAGCCAGAAAGAAATTGACTGATGTGTATGGAGAAGGTGTGTTGACAGTACNCAATGAACTTATAAATATAAGGATGAATATGTATTGGTCGTAAGTCTTTTTCTGTTGAGTTACGGGTGTTACATATGTTCGCGGTAGACCCACTATATGTACATATAGCGTCTACTTTGCTATCACGTTTAAATAAAAACTGTAAACGGTTCGTTCGTGCCTATAAACGGTTCGTTCGTGCCTGTAAACGGTTCGTTCGTGCCTGTAAACGGTTCGTTCGTGCCTGTAAACGGTTCGTTCGTTCATTCAAACGGTTCGTTCGTACGATCATAGTCTGGTGATAATAATCAGTGAAGTATAGGAAATCGGTCACTACGCATGGCGAATAGGGGCACCATGGAGAGAGCTGAAGAGCTCAACAACATGCTAAGAGAAGCGTTGATTGAACTAACAAGCTATGGACTACACCTCAAAATAGTAAATAACGATGGAAATGAGAAGGCCGGGATCATGGAAGCGGCTGACAAGACGACTAGAGAAAAAGAAGATACCGAGAATGCGACTTTGCAAGGAAACACACATGAGTCAAAAAAAGAAAAATAAATAAGGAAGAAATAGTAACGGAAAAACAAACGCAAAGAAATGGAGGTAAAAAGCCTTAAAACAGGTCAAATAAGTTCGAGATATTATCTGTAGAAGAAGATATCAAAGTACCTATCGAGGACGACGAAAAAATGGTAGAGATTGTACAATCTACGAAAGTGAAACCACCTCCACCAATCACAGTGAAAGCGGAAAATATCAACATATTGACGCAGATACTGGAAAAGAACAACATAACGTTAAGAACTCCACTTAAGTACACAACATCTGGCACTAAAGTGTTCACCCCAGAAAGCGAGGACTACAGACGACTCATCAAAGTCCTTAAGGCATGCAATATAGAATACTTCACGTTCCAGCTAAACGAAGAAAAAGAATTAAAAGTGGTAATAAAGGGCCTGCCACCATCAATGGATACAGAAACAATAGAGGATTCACTGAAAACACAAGGTTACAAATACAACAGCATAGTTAGGATGAAAAACAAAGATAAAATACTACCTATGGTTCTGATAAACACAAGCAGAGATGAAGAAGGGAAAAAGTGTATAACGTCAACAATATTGGCCAATTAAAGGTACACACAGAACCAAAACGAAGACCATCCGAGGCAAGGCAGTGTTTCAGATGCCAAAGGTTTGGCCATTTGGCCTTTAGGTGTAATATGAACCCGAGATGCGTAAAGTGCGGGGAAGATCATCACACAAGAGAATGCGAGAACAAAGCAAAAGAAAAGTGCGCAAATTGCAAAGGAGGACACAGCATCCAGTTGGCAGTGCCCAATGCACCCCAAACGGATACAGGATGAAAAGATGGCACGGAAAAAGGAAATTATGGAGCACTCCAAAATAAGATACGACTGCTCGTATGCACAAACAGCACAAAAAAACAATGTTAAAGAAAATGAAACCGAAGACAAAATTCGAAAAATTCTAGAGAAGGTTTTACCACAAGTCCTACAAAACTTATATGGATAAAAAGCCAAAGCAATTCAAGCAAGGGCCAACATGATAAATAAAATGGCGGAAAGTGCCATTCAATACAGAAAAGAATGCCCAAACAAAATGCTGCAATAGATCACCAAAAAAGAAGATGAAAGATCTGTCATAGACGTTCTTGCAACGTCTGAAACATCGAAACAGAAAGGACCCCAAAAAAAAAAGCTATCACGAGACACACGAGCCCGAACCATTCGAGCTTACGCACGTCTGTATCCAGAGAAAACTACTTTCACTAGCCCTTGCAGCCTATTCTACAACCGGCAGTTATCACTGCCTGCCTAGCGATGCCGAAATAAACCAGGAGGTTTAATACAACGTTTTATATTTTATAAAAATTTAATATAGCCCAACCTTTTTTTTAGGTAAGCCTTAATTTAAATAATTAACCAACTAATCCAATAGTCTTGGGGACAGAGTACGCAACGTAAGGGTCCTGCACTCTTGGAGGGTTACTCCCTCACCAACGCCATAGCCCTCTTCGGCGAATTAAAACAGAACATGGTCGTTCTAGAAGCTTATATCCGTCAGCATACTGACAATAAGGCCACGACCATGTCAGAGGACATCGGGCTCATTTCCTCGCCCTCACAGGTAGCTGTACCGTCAAATACAGCTGCTGCTACCTCTGCCGACGGCTATACTAAAACGAACTGACGTCGAACAAAACGTAGAAGACGAACACCGTTCCTTTCTTCGTCTTCCACGCCGTCACTTGCGTCCATGCGCCGCAGCTCCTCCCCCAATCTCCATCCGCCAAAAGTCCCATTGGTCTAACATTCTCCGTGGCTTGGAAAGCCACGATATCTCCGTCCGACGGGCAGTCAATACCAGTGACTCCAACAGAGTATATCCCAACTCTACGGAGGACTTCCGCCGCCTTTCCTCTCTCCTCGACGAATCAAACGTCGAGTTTTTTACCAACCAGCTCCGCCAAGACAGGGACCTTCATGTCGTCCTTCGCGGAGTCTGTAAGTCTATCTCCACAGACGATATAAGTCCGAATTGACTCACTCCGTGGCGTCCACCGCATGTTCAACGCTGGTAAAATATGGCCTCTAGTGTCCGTTCGGCTTGACAGGACGGACAAAAAGTTCAAGACAATCTTCGAGCTTGGCAAAATCTGCGGGCTCAATGTCAAGGTGGAGCTCAAAGGAGTCAACAAGGACGTTCCTCAATGCCGCCGTTACCAAAAGTTCTTTCATACGGCCAATTACTGCAGTTCTTAACGAACTACGCTCAAATCACCTTCCTGTTCGGATCGAAATCGGCCGCCCAACTTACAACCTTCCAAAGCTAACATACTCGTTAGACTGGCTACAACTGTGCTACACCCTTGAGTCATCTTCTTTTAAGTTCACTCAAATTCGCACAATAGGGAATCCCGATGAAGCGATAATCTTTCAAACGAGATTACCAGCGCCGTCGAACGCTCCACGACCTCCCGCCCATTCATCACCCCAGTCAATACTCTCCCCGCAGACATTCTTGACCTCCTTAAGAGGAAAAACACGGCCCGACGTCTGTGGAATAGACACTGCG